TCAAAGCATCCTAGGTTGCTAACAGCTGAATGGGGAGATCCGTATGACCCTTACACATCCCCATGCCCAGCTGTGGCCCTGGGAAGCTCTGGCCGGAAAGGGGGAGGCAGGCACACTGCAAACATTGTGCAGCAAAGTAGCCATGCTGCTCTGTCTGCCGCTCCCCCGCGTGACCCAAAGCCTCATTATTATTATTATTACATAGTATTTATATAGCGCCAACAGTTTGCGCAGCGCTTTACATATACATACATACATTTATTATAGGGACAGCTCTGTTCTTGTGTGTTTTGGGCTCTGACATAATACATTTGTACCCAGGGCCGGTGCTAGACTATTTTGCGCCCTAGGCAAGACCAGCTACTTGCATCCCCCCAGCCCTCCTCCAGCGGCACAGCCCCCAATCCCACCCCGTGCACGCACAGCCCCATTCTCCTGCCGGCTAGCTTCCACAGGCGGTAGATGGATGTAAGCAGCCGGAACAATAGCCTGACTGCTATTGGCTATTTTTATTTGAAATAGCCAATAGCAGACTGGTTATTGAAACACCAGCAACTGAGCGGACCTCAGAGAGAAAGTTGTCTCTTAGCATTGTTCCTCTGCTCAGTGGGCGGGTGCAATAGCCAGCCTGCTATTGACTTTTGCAATTTGAAATGGGGGGGGGGGGGGATCAGTGGTCAAAGCTGCACCCTATGCAGCAGTGCGCCCTAGGCAGCTGCCTAGTTTGCCTAGTGGCAGCACCGGCTCTGTTTGCACCCAGAAGAATTCTCGGGGCTTTTGGATTCCTGCACAAAGGAAGAGTTTTGTTGAAATGAAAGATCTGGTGACAGGGTCTCTTTAAAGAAAAAAAAAACATTGTCAACACCTAGTGAACAGATAACTTTGAAGTTTATGAACCGCCATGTAATAAAAAAGAATTGCCCCTCGAATAAATGCGCCATATATTTTTTAATGATTCCACTGCCAATGTGCAAAGGGCGTCCTGCTGGAGAAGACATCCTGAGATTATTTTGATAATTTTTAACCCAACCGCCTCGAGTTCCAAGTTAAGAAGAATAAAATGAGACGCTCTTATCTGTCTTATCATCAAGGCCGAGGATTCCTGTCCACAGGGCGAGTATATAAACACATCTCTCCCAGGCTTAGTCTCTGCCAAGTACCAGCCTTGTGAGGGATCATGAACTGGCTAAAGGTGGTGGGTATCGTTCTGGGGGCGGCGGTCGTAATGGCCGTTGGCCTTCTGGTCGGCCATTTCGGCATTCCAAAACAATCAAAGTGGGTGAAGGAACTTGCTCAGGATCTCGATGAAAAATTCATCAGCCAGTTCATGGCAGAAATGGATAACAAAAGGATAGAAGACAACTTGAGGTGAGGCTTTTGCTCGGGGTTTTATCATCAGGCGTGGACTCGTGGAGAGGCAAAGTAGACCATGGTCTTGGGTGGCTGCAGGAGGAGCAGCAGGGTGGCTCTTGTTTTGTTCTGCGCCAAGGGGCGATCAGCTGCAGGTAATCGCGGAATGTGCAATGACATGCGAACAGCTGCCAAGGGCTGTGGGTGCTAAGAGCTGTCAACGATGCGTCTAATGCTGTGCACATGTGTCTCACGCAGCAATTCATGAGGGTCATGCAATGGGCCCCATTGGGTGAATGGGGCCATGAATCATGTTTTTGGTATGTGTGTTGGGTTGAATGAAGCAAATTCTGCCAGCTGTCAATATTGCTGCACCACCCGTCCTCTGCAACATTCGCCAGTGGCACACCAAGCCCCCGTTCACGCCTGCGTGCCATGGGAATGTGCTCAAAGTTGTGCGCGTTCCTGCAGCGCATGAAAACACGCGTCCTTTTTGCAGGCGCACTGCGGTGCCCTTCATTCTTATACAGGTGCAAGCTCTAAACTGCTAGCAAAGATCTACTCCTGCCTGAGCAATAGCATTATGTGCATGGGGCTGTGTGTTTAGACCATAGGTGTCCTGCTGTTCATTGCATAACTGATATAAAGTCAAAAGGTTGCTGAAGGAAATCACTTACAATGGATGCTGTTTCTTGATGTTTAAAAGTATTAGTTTCCTGCAGAATCAGCTGGTCCCCTGAGCACTGGTCCTGATATCCTGTATTAGGTGGTACGAGTACTCGCCCAAATACTCGGCATCGGCACCGATACAAATGCTCCCGATACTTATCCCAATACTGGAATTTCAGGTACCAGGAAGCCTGATTGGCTGGGAAGCCAGCTCCATGCTCCCTCATCACCAAGGAGCATGGAGCTGGCCTCCTGGCCAATCAGGAAGCCGGGGGGTGGTTAATGACTCACCTTCTGGCTTCCTGTTTGGAAGGCCGGGGGTGACTAGGTGACGAGGAAGCATGTCTCCATAGTCTGTGCCTCAGCCCCGCCCACCGCTCACCACACCCGTGCCACTGCGCCAGCACACAGCCTCGCACCACCTCCACACGGGACCCAGGAGAAGGTGGAAGAATTGGTTAGCTGTACCGCGCATGCACCCAGGAGACCAGCGGCATAAGCAGCAACCTGATTGGTCCGGAAGCAGGCCAATCAGGAAGCCAGGCGGCGAGCCATTACCTGCCCCTCGGCTTCTTGATTGGTCCTAAAGCATGCTCCATGCTTCCTCGTCACTTGGTGACGAAGGAGCATGGAGCTGGCTTCCTGGCATATCAGGAAGCCGGGCAGCGTGTAATGACTGGTCAGGAAGCTGGCAACTCAGGAAGCCGGGGGGCAGATAATGACTCCTGGTCTCCTGGTGACAAGGGAGTATGGAGCCGGCTTCCCGGCTAATCAGGAAGCCAGGTGGATCGGTCATTACACGCTGCCCAGCTGCCTTAATGGGACTTCCGGTATCGGTATTCTGTATCGGCGAGTACCAAAAAAAAAAATTATCGGTACTTGTACTCGATACTGAAAAACTGGTATCGGTGCATCCCTAGTTACAATGATGTAATCTAATCACCAAGGGGAGAGGAGACTGAGGAGATGCTTCCCCTGGCCTGCAGCAGACTGATGACATCATTACAGCCTAGGCAAAGTCACTTACTGGAGTTTCAGAATAGCTTTTTAACAATAAAAGGAACACCCTGTTAATAAAAAAAAGAAGGGGGGGGTGGCAATAAGGTCCGCTTTAAGAACATTAGAAGGAAGCCATCAGTGTTGACCCAACCAGCTGCAGCTGGGGCGGGATACCGGTGACATCACTGACCTCAATGTCATAGACCAAATGTGGCCATGTAGCCATATAAGGTCAAAGATGGCCTAGATTGGCTGTGAATGACTTAGTGACTCCAGCCTGTGGTTGCCTCTCTGTCCTCCATCATTTTTCTTGATCCTCATGTACCGCACATGGACACGTTGTAGGGGGAATTATTTTTTAACCCCTTACAACGTCGATCTCTGTCTGTTCCTGTCTTTACAGAATTCTCTCCAAGAAGCCCCACGTAGCTACAAGTGCAGCAGATGAGGAGCTGGTGCAGTTACTTCTGTCTCGTTGGAAGGATCCCAACTCTGGCTTGGATGATGCTAAAGAAGAGCGATATAATGTGTTGCTCTGTTTCCCAGATGAAGCAAATCCGAATACTGTCAAAGTCTGTAAGTGGCTAGGCAGCATTGTATGGGGAGTATATTGCCGGGCAAGGATTTCTATTTCTGTTCCACCAGTCCTGAAATATACACAGCCCTGCCAGACTGCACAGTCAGGTTGATGACCTGAATTTCCTCTACTGCAGTTAGCTTACAACATGCAGATCATCCCATTGGCCTTAATCTGCAGTTGGACTGTAAAGGAGTAGTAGAAGACTGATTAGGTCATCTCTCTCCTTCTGTCAGCACACCTGAGTAGCGCCTAGAGCTGCCCCTCACTCTCTGTCTAAGTGCTGCAGTGCAAGAAATGACAGGGGGGTTTGTTTGATTTTCTTCACCGTGACCTTGAAGGAAAAAATTTAGGAGTTGGGTTTTCATACAAGCCTGTGGCCACTTGGATGCATGTGCACCACCCTGGCCTTAGTTAATCTAAAGTGTACCCCAGTACCCCCGAAATGTTGGGTCCCCCTTCTATGGAAGCAATGACCAAATCTCCTACAATCATGCCATGGCTTGAACATTCCTGCTCTTCCCAATCACCTGTTGGCTAGCGGGGCCATCCATCACACTTGGTAGCCAACTGGGAGGAAAGAATAATGTGGGCAGGCCATGGGTAACTCAGCATTTCAGGGGTACTGAGGTGCTCTACGGGTGGGTACCTGCTTTTCAATCATGCATTCAACTGCCCACAAGTACACTTTAAAGCCTTGGTTCTCAACTGGTGGGTTGTGACCCAAAAGTGGGTCGCAGCCCCCGTGTTCAGTGGGTCGCCGCATGCCTTCCACTTCTCTAGGCGAGAGGCTCCTCAGCCTCCCCCTAGCGCAGTACTGACCATTCTCACACTGAGCAGCCATTCAAAATATGCTGCCCAGCGCAGAGTGTCGACTTGAGGTGGTGTGGGCTGGGGGTATGGCTGCGAGGGAGCTTCATCCATACGTGCATTGCTTATAGCTCCCTCACATGTCCTGTAGAGGTGCCTGGACCGGAGTGACGTCACATTCTGGCTCCTGGAATCTCTACAGGCACGCATGGGAGCTGTACAAGCAATACACATCTGAATGGAGCTCCATCACAGCACAGCAACCCACACTGCCGTGCTTTCCATTGCAGTGTGCACTTAGGTCGCAACTTAAAAGGAGATTTATGAAGTGAGTGATTTCCACTCATCCTCATAGTTAGAGCCGATGTGTGACAAAGAAGCTGTGACAGGTCGGCTCTATCAATCATGAAGTGAGCAGAAACATGCCGCCGATCTGCTCACTTCTCGATTGTCTCCCTGCAGACAGCGGTGACCAGTGGCGGAACTACTGCCGGTTCGGCCGGTGATTTTTAAATAACATTTTAAATGTTTTATTATTTTATGTTCCCGGGGCATTTTTAAATGTCCCGGGAACATAAAATAAAAGGTGACAGGTGTCTAAAAGGTGTCTCTAGGTGACATTAGGGGTCTGAAAGACTGATGCCTCCATAAAGAGGACCTGTCACACCCTATCTGCTATTACACAGGGTGCTTGTTAGTCCCCTATGTAGTAACAAAAGGGTTAGTGCACAAAAAAAAAAAGTGTTTAAAAACAAATGTAACATAAAAAAAAAAAAAAAATGGGAAAAAAAATGTTTAAGTCCCCCGTCCGTAGCGCCTACGTGCGAAAAACGACAATTGTGCTGAACATATCGCCTCGAACGTCGCAGTGAGAGCAATAATGCAATTTTTCTGCCGATACAGCAACGCATCCCTGCTTTCTTTCCTCCCCGCTGGGCGCTGCTCTGTGTCCCAGCGGGGAGGATAGAAAGTGAGAACCGGCCGAGCGCTGCGGGAGGAAAGCGCTGTGTTTGTTTTTCTTTTTTTTGGGGGGGGGGCCAAAAAAAAAAATCTTACACCAGTGCCCTTCGTTCCTTAGGTCCGCCACTGGCGGTGACTGTCAGTCACCGCTGCCTGCAGGGATTCCCCCCCGCCCCTCTCCCGTCCTCCAGCGCTGAGTTGAGGAAAGGACGGGGAGGGGGCGGGCACAGCTGGCTCTGCCTCTAGATAGGCAGAGCCAGCTGTCACTCACGCAGCTGTGTGGATCTCGACAGTAATGTCGGGATCCGTCCCGGCTGCGGGGCTCACAGTATATCGCAGGGAGGATGCTAGTTTATGTCCTCCCGTGACCCTAAAGAGAACTATGGGGAAAAACACTTACCCCCACTGGCGGAACTACCAGGGTCGCAACGGTCGCGACCGTGTCCTGGCGTTCCGCCTGTTGGGGGGGCCCAGAGAGGAAGGAACGGGCCCACTATGCCCGATGCATAGCCTCGGGCACTAGCCTGCCCGACACTATGCATCAGCCTGCTCTGACGGACCTAAGCTTGTCCGAGCAGAGTAGTGAGTGGGAGGGGTCATCGGCGCCAGTGCCGAAGTTGGTGGGGAGGGGCGCATGTGCAGGGGCCCCACAGCATCAGGACGGGATTTACCTGCTCGCCGGCTCCCTTCCTCTCTCCTCCCGCCGCTCTGCAGGCACTGCCAGGGCCAGCTTTGCACCTGAGGGCCCCGGGAACGAGGGGGAGGAGTCTAGGAGCGGTATCAGGCAGAGGGGGAGAAAGAGGACCGACCTGGACACACAGGGTGGGTGAGCTGTCAGCAGCCCTAACCCTGCAATCTGTCCCCTGAGACCCTGCAGAGCCCTGGTGAGAGCGCCCGTATCCATGGTGAGACCGCCCGCAGCCCTGGTGAGACCGCCCGCAGCCCTGGTGAGACCGCCCGCAGCCCTGGTGAGACCGCCCGCAGCCCTGGTGAGACCGCTCACACCCACATATTAACCACTACGGGGAAGCGTGCTGAGTGTCTGCCTGCTGGGAGCTGCTTTAAAGTGTTATTAAACCCTCAGGTGTTGTTGCATATTTGTACGGCTACCAAGCAGTAGATACTGTATATGCAAAAAACGAAAAACAAAAAACCCTTTCCAACTGGTTTGAAGAAAAAAAAAAGGTATCAAAAACATTTTGTTTGGGGGGGGGGCCTTAATGGTTTCTTGCACCGGGGCCCTGAGGTTTCTAGTTACGCCTCTGCTTACCCCATAGTTCACTTTTAATGATTGAGGACAAATGTGGGTCCTGAGGTTACACAGGTTGAGAACCACTGCTTTAAAGGATCAGTCCACCCGAAACAAAGAGCTCTGTTTTTGAAAGATGCCGCAGAGTTCACCTAATTATTCTGAATGATTGTTAGGGATTGGGAGATTCTAGAAGAACTCCTCTTTGAATTCACCTTTTTTCTGGCCAAAACCCTGAACTAAACCCTGCTGTGTTACCTGCAGTGAACCCGAGTGGAGACGTCCTGTTCTCAGCTAAAGAAACAGAGGAAGAGCTCACAGAGGACCAGAAGGATCCATCCATTCTTCAGCCTTTTCTGGCCTATGCACCCAGTGGATCTGTCAAGGTAACCAGACTTGGTATTAAGTAATTCTATGAATGTCATCAATATGTATGAGATGAATCCTGGAGGGAGCTTAGACCAAGCAGCTTGTACATGGCTAGCCAGTATGGAAACAGTATAAGTCCATATTCCTGAATGACTAGTTACTAAGAACAATCTAGGTCATGGATGAGGAAGCATCTGTCCACCTCCAGATCTCCTTTGATAATGATCAGTGCCAAAGCAGTGGATTTCCGAGGTTGGCATAGGTTTGCACTTAAGGGGGTAAGTACCGGTAATTCTTTATTTTTGGGCTTTTTTTTTTTACCCCTCTAAGGGACATCTGAACTGGGTGGGAGGTACATGTGACTGCTAAACTCATGGTATTCTGAATCTGATTGTTGTATTAGCAATTTATACCTTGCTGAGACCCCTATGCCTGGCCTATATAAGCAGATATAATCACAGCTGTATTGCATGCAGCAGGTTACAGCAGACAACAGGATACAAGAGCTGAATGAACAGATGATATTTGAAGGTCAGAGATGGTAATGTTTCCAAGCAAGCATATTACATGTGGTCATATTACAGTCAGCCATGACACCAGAAAAGACAAGTCTAACAAGAAGGAAGTGCATCACACACAAGTGGAGGGAATACAGAAAACATGGTGCAATAACGTATACCGTGTTTCCCCAAAAATAAGACACTGGCTTTTTTTTTTTTTTATGTATAACAATCCAAAGTTAATGCAAATCCAAATAAATAATCCAAAATGGCAAAGTTAAGAATATGGTAATCAGGGCAATCAGGGATGCCGTACCTTTCCAAGAGCAATTTGGTAACCAGAATGAGCAAAGCGCGTTTTCACTATTGATTCCTTACAGGCGGAGTGCCTTTGGTATCACTCCGCCTGTGACAGGAGTTGGCGCTATAGAGAAAACATTGGCTTATGCGGCTCTGCTCCCTCCGGTGCCGCCTCGCTTCCTCTAGCGTTGGCTTCATTGGCACCGCTGATTCTCTCCCGCGGCTCTTCAAGTTCCCCCTTATGCCACCACCAGCCCTGGGAATGGTCACAACTAGGTCTTATTTTCGGGGGAAACAGGGTATTAACCAGCTATGCTAATACCACAAAAAATGGCTTAAGGAAAATTAGCTATATAGATTCTCAATTCAGATTTGTATGAACACCAACTATGACTATGAATTGTGTGATATTTTTACAACTGTGTAACAGCACACATGGTTAGGTATTTAAAAATGTGGGTTGGGCATGTCTGCTGAGCACTGATTACTGAGTGCACTGGGTCTAACCCTACTTCCTATTATTTGGACTCTCTGCACAACTGCTGTAAAAGGAATGTGGAGGGAACACAATGAAAATGGAGGATGTGAGTACAATGTCTACCTGATCACATATTTATTTCTGTGACATCAGTTAGGCTTTAACTACATAAGGCAAAGGCCAGTGTCTGTGTATCCCAGAATAACCAATAAGATGCAGACACTTTTCCCGTGCAGTTTAGAAATTAGTAAATCAGACACCTTATAGCTTCTTTTTCTTATGTTGTTATTGATCTACATCATTATATCACTCCGTATACTTCCTTCTGTCTCTGTTCCTTAGGGGAAGCTGGTATTTGCCAATGAAGGGAGAGTCAGCGATTTCCAGTACTTGGCTAACCTTATAAACCTGAATGGCACCATCGCCATTGTGCGCTATGGAGGAATAGGAAGAGTGAACAAGGTGCGGTATCAGCTGATAGAGTTATCATTTACAATACAATACACCTATGTGTATGATTATATATATATATATACACACACACACAGGTGAAATTCGAATAATTTGAATATCGTGCAAAGTTCATTTATTTCACTAATGCAACTTAAAAGGTGACACTAATATATGAGAGAGACTCATTACATGCAAAGCAAGATAGTTCAAGCCGTGATTTGTCATAATTGTGATGATTATGGCTTACAGCTCATGAAAACCCCAAGAACCCCAAATCCACAACCTCAGAAAATGAGAATATTACATGCAATCAATAAAACAAGGATTGTACATAGAACAATATCGGACCTCTGAAAAGTACAAGCATGCATATGTACTCAGTACTTGGTTTGGGCCCCTTTTGCAGCACTTACTGCAATTACTTTTGCACGATATTCTAATTATTCGAGTTTCACCTGTGTGTGTATGTGTATATATATATATATATAAATAAGCCACTTAAAAGAGTTATGTTGGTTTAAATAGAAAGCACTAGCATTAGCAAAGTAGACATGGGGTGCAGTGGCGTAACAATCGCCATAGCGACCCAGGCGGCCGCTATGGGGCCCGGGGCACAGAGGGGGCCCGGCCAGGACATCCCCCTGATGCCGTGCGGGCTGCCTGGGTTGCTGTGGCATCTCAGGCTGCTGGCTGTCACTGGCGGGTGCGAGGAGGAATGTGTCACTGTTAGATCACCGACAACCTGTCAGTGATCTGTTGCAGCGACGCGTTCCTCCTCACAGCCGCTGCTGAGTCAGTGACAGCCAGCAGCTGTGGAGGAGGAGCTGCGTCAAAAGCAGAGGAGGAGGCGGGGCCCGACGATGGAAGAGGATGCTGGGCCCGGCAAAGGGAGAGGAGATGGTGCCTGGTAAAGGAGGAGGCGGTGCCTGCCAGCGACCATGGAGGCGGACAGCGGATCAGGGCTGACAGGTAAGGGGTGTGCAGCCCACCTGAGACCCTGCAGAGTCTATGGTGGGCTCTGCAGGGTCACTCTCAGGTGGGCTGTTTGGGATATCAGGGGGGCTCTGCAAGAGCATAACATGAAATCACAGGGCCCCATGCAAAAATTTTCTATAGGGCCCTGTGATTTCTGGTTACACCCCTGATGGAGGGTGATGAATTTGCCCAAATTTCTATAAAGCGGGTTTGATGTTGATACAGTCCCAGGTTATGTGCGCCCAGTTGCCCTGAATTACACTGAGAACGGGTCATCAGCAGACTCTAGCTGCCAATGGATCTTTCCAATGCTGGCCATTCACTATACAATCTGATCATGCAATCCCCCTTTATATCTACCAGTAATGATGTAGTGCAAGGGAATGCATGAATGGATACAAGTTGAATGGGCTGATTTGGGGTGTCCTCCTATTTCATTGTTTTGGGTAATCTATAGGAGATTGGACAAAGATTGTATAATCAGATTATAATTTGCATGGCCAGTTTAGGAGAGACCGTTCCACAAACAGGAACATTGGCTTCAGGTGAACTTGCATGCTTGTTCCTATCGGAAATGGAGAGGGGAGGTCTGCAATGATTGGCTGTCCCAGGGAACAATGGCCGAGGCTGTGGAGGGGGCCTACAAATATACCAACATCAACCTTAGATAATGGAATCAATGAAACTCTCTCTAACGCGTGTAGTGTTTTTAAAACTGAACTCCAGGCACAAAACCTTCCACTGAAATATAGCCACAAAGGATAGAAATGCATGTTGTGCGCACCAAATGCATTTGCAGATCCAAATATTACCTTGTAAAAGTAGCAGTGACACCATCACTGTGCTGTACATTGCCTGTGCAGAGAGCAGAGCTGTGGGAGGGGCCCAGAAGGCCACACCCACTGAAGGCTGCCTGCACGAAACTTCAGGGGGGGCGTAGACAAGTGGTCTTTATTACAGGAGGGGGCGGAGACGAGAACAGTCACCCTGCACAAGAAGGGAGAGCAGCAGTGACCGGTCTTTATTACAGGAGGGGGCAGAGACGAGACCAGTCACACTGCAGAAGGAGAGTGAAAAGCAGAGACCGGTCTTTATTACAGGAGGGGGCGGAGACAAATGAATCTGTTGCCGTTATTGGCCAGAATGCAGAATGCAGAATGCTGTGGGTCAGATGACCTTGAATGATAGTTTGAGATCACATGGCCTGGAACCAGAACTCTCTGATGATTGGCTTTATACAGTTCTAAGATACGTGTTTCATCATCCTACTACCACTCCCTGCCTCCCTCTTGCTTAGCTAATCTATTAAAGTAAACCCAACGCTACAGTGTAGGGAACCTTCAGTTATTTTGCATTTCCAATACCTATAGCGATCCATAGCTGTCTATGCATGATGCCCTACTAGGCTTATAAGAGGCAACGCATACTGCTTTCATGGGGAATTTGGTATCACAATCTCAGCCACAGCCTGCTCTCCAAGAGCGGATGGTTGATGACTCGATGTGCCATATTGCTCCCCAGAGGAATGCAATCTCGGAAAGATAGTTATTCATGCATTTGGGTTGTTGCATTTTTTAGTACTCTGGCTTTGGGGTCTACACGCTGTACTCTCAGCATAAGAACCTGTGTATCTAGCTAGAAGGGGAGTTCTGTGTACGGAACACTTGCTGATGTCTTCTTCTATGTGTTTCAGGCAATTAATGCTGCCAGATTCGGAGTGATTGGTGTAATAATCTACACTGACCCCAAAGATATAAACGATGGAAAGTCAAATCCCTCAGACACATACCCTCATTCCTGGTATCTGCCACCGTCCGGGGTAGAACGGGGGTCATTCAAAGAGAATTTTGGTGATCAGCTCACCCCATACTACCCAGCTAAAGGTAACAATTAAAGCGTCGGTATGAGACTGGATAGACGTGCCCTCGCTTTCTACATGTGTATGATATCTCTCCTATAATCCAAATCCCTTTTTTTTGTGTTTTACCTTCTTGAACATCTCAGGCCTGCTCGCTTAATATTCTATATGTTGTGCCCCGCTATCATTCTTGTTCTTTATTATAATCCTGCATATCCCGCTCTCTTATTATTCCCCATATCCCGCTCTCTTATTATGCCTCATATCCTGCTCTCCTATTATCCCTCATATCCCGTTCTCTTATTATTCCCCATATCCCGCTCTCTTATTATTCCTCATATCCCGCTCTCTTATTATCCCTCATATCCCGCTCTCTTATTATCCCTCATATCCCGCTCTCTTATTATCCCTCATATCACGCTCTTATTATCCCTCATATTCCGTTCTCTTATTATCCCTCATATCCCGCTCTCTTATTATTCCTCATATTCCGTTCTCTTATTATCCCTCATATCCCGCTCTCTTATTATTCCTCATATCCCGTTCTCTTATTATCCCTCATATCCCGCTCTATTATTATTCCCATATTCCGCTCTCTTATTATTCCCATATTCCGCTCTCTTATTATTCCCATATCCCGCTCTCTTATTATCCCTCATATCCCGTTCTCTTATAATTCCTCATATCCCGCTCTCTTATTATCCCCCATATCCCGCTCTCCAATTATTCCCCATATCCCGCTCTCTAATTATCCGCCATATCCCGCTCTCTTATTATCCCTCATATCCCGCTCTCTTATTATCCCTCATATCCCGCTCTCTTATTATCCCTCATATCCCGCTCTCTTATTATCACTCATATCTCGTTCTCTTATTATTCCCCATATCCCGTTCTCGTATTATTCCCCATATCCCGCTCTCTTATTATCACTCATATTCCGTTCTCTTATTATCCCCCATATCCCGCTCTCTTATTATCACTCATATCCTGTTCTCTTATTATTACCCATATCCCGCTCTCTTATTATCCCTCATATCCCGCTCTCCTATTATTCCCCATATCCCGCTCTCTTATTATCACTCATATTCCGTTCTCTTATTATCCCCCATATCCCGCTCTCTTATTATCACTCATATTCCGTTCTCTTATTATCCCCCATATCCCGCTCTCTTATTATCACTCATATTCCGTTCTCTTATTATCCCCCATATCCCGCTCTCTTATTATCACTCATATTCCGTTCTCTTATTATCCCCCATATCCCGCTCTCTTATTATCACTCATATTCCGTTCTCTTATTATCCCCCATATCCCGCTCTCTTATTATCACTCATATTCCGTTCTCTTATTATCCCCCATATCCCGCTCTCTTATTATCACTCATATTCCGTTCTCTTATTATCCCCCATATCCCGCTCTCTTATTATCACTCATATTCCGTTCTCTTATTATCCCCCATATCCCGCTCTCTTATTATCACTCATATTCCGTTCTCTTATTATCCCCCATATCCCGCTCTCTTATTATCACTCATATTCCGTTCTCTTATTATCCCCCATATCCCGCTCTCTTATTATCACTCATATTCCGTTCTCTTATTATCCCCCATATCCCGCTCTCTTATTATCACTCATATTCCGTTCTCTTATTATCCCCCATATCCCGCTCTCTTATTATCACTCATATTCCGTTCTCTTATTATCCCCCATATCCCGCTCTCTTATTATCACTCATATTCCGTTCTCTTATTATCCCCCATATCCCGCTCTCTTATTATCACTCATATTCCGTTCTCTTATTATCCCCCATATCCCGCTCTCTTATTATCACTCATATTCCGTTCTCTTATTATCCCCCATATCCCGCTCTCTTATTATCACTCATATTCCGTTCTCTTATTATCCCCCATATCCCGCTCTCTTATTATCACTCATATTCCGTTCTCTTATTATCCCCCATATCCCGCTCTCTTATTATCACTCATATTCCGTTCTCTTATTATCCCCCATATCCCGCTCTCTTATTATCACTCATATTCCGTTCTCTTATTATCCCCCATATCCCGCTCTCTTATTATCACTCATATTCCGTTCTCTTATTATCCCCCATATCCCGCTCTCTTATTATCACTCATATTCCGTTCTCTTATTATCCCCCATATCCCGCTCTCTTATTATCACTCATATTCCGTTCTCTTATTATCCCCCATATCCCGCTCTCTTATTATCACTCATATTCCGTTCTCTTATTATCCCCCATATCCCGCTCTCTTATTATCACTCATATTCCGTTCTCTTATTATCCCCCATATCCCGCTCTCTTATTATCACTCATATTCCGTTCTCTTATTATCCCCCATATCCCGCTCTCTTATTATCACTCATATTCCGTTCTCTTATTATCCCCCATATCCCGCTCTCTTATTATCACTCATATTCCGTTCTCTTATTATCCCCCATATCCCGCTCTCTTATTATCACTCATATTCCGTTCTCTTATTATCCCCCATATCCCGCTCTCTTATTATCACTCATATTCCGTTCTCTTATTATCCCCCATATCCCGCTCTCTTATTATCACTCATATTCCGTTCTCTTATTATCCCCCATATCCCGCTCTCTTATTATCACTCATATTCCGTTCTCTTATTATCCCCCATATCCCGCTCTCTTATTATCACTCATATTCCGTTCTCTTATTATCCCCCATATCCCGCTCTCTTATTATCACTCATATTCCGTTCTCTTATTATCCCCCATATCCCGCTCTCTTATTATCACTCATATTCCGTTCTCTTATTATCCCCCATATCCCGCTCTCTTATTATCACTCATATTCCGTTCTCTTATTATCCCCCATATCCCGCTCTCTTATTATCACTCATATTCCGTTCTCTTATTATCCCCCATATCCCGCTCTCTTATTATCACTCATATTCCGTTCTCTTATTATCCCCCATATCCCGCTCTCTTATTATCACTCATATTCCGTTCTCTTATTATCCCCCATATCCCGCTCTCTTATTATCACTCATATTCCGTTCTCTTATTATCCCCCATATCCCGCTCTCTTATTATCACTCATATTCCGTTCTCTTATTATCCCCCATATCCCGCTCTCTTATTATCACTCATATTCCGTTCTCTTATTATCCCCCATATCCCGCTCTCTTATTATCACTCATATTCCGTTCTCTTATTATCCCCCATATCCCGCTCTCTTATTATCACTCATATTCCGTTCTCTTATTATCCCCCATATCCCGCTCTCTTATTATCACTCATATTCCGTTCTCTTATTATCCCCCATATCCCGCTCTCTTATTATCACTCATATTCCGTTCTCTTATTATCCCCCATATCCCGCTCTCTTATTATCACTCATATTCCGTTCTCTTATTATCCCCCATATCCCGCTCTCTTATTATCACTCATATTCCGTTCTCTTATTATCCCCCATATCCCGCTCTCTTATTATCACTCATATTCCGTTCTCTTATTATCCCCCATATCCCGCTCTCTTATTATCACTCATATTCCGTTCTCTTATTATCCCCCATATCCCGCTCTCTTATTATCACTCATATTCCGTTCTCTTATTATCCCCCATATCCCGCTCTCCTATTATTCCCCATATCCCGTTCTCTTATTATTTCTCACATCCCGCTCTCTTATTATGTCTCATATCCCGTTCTCTTATTATGTCTCATGTCCCGCTCTCTTATCGCTCATATCGCGTTCTCTTATTATCCCTCATATCACGCTCTCTTATTATCCCTCATATCCCGTTCTCTTATAATCCCTCATATCCTGCTCTATTATTATCCCCCATATCCCGTTCTCTTATAATCCCTCATATCCTACTCTCTTATTATCCCTCACATCCCGCTCTTATTATGTCTCATATCCCGTTCTCTTATTATGTCTCATATCCCGTTCTCTTATCGCTCATATCCCGTTCTCTTATTATCCCTCATATCCCGCTCTCTTATTATTCCCATATCCCGCTCTCTTATTATCCCTCATATCCCGTTCTCTTATAATCCCTCATATCCTGCTCTATTATTATCCCCCATATCCCGTTCTCTTATAATCCCTCATATCCTACTCTCTTATTATCCCTCACATCCCGCTCTTATTATGTCTCATATCCCGTTCTCTTATTATGTCTCATATCCCGTTCTCTTATCGCTCATATCCCGTTCTCTTATTATCCCTCATATCCCGCTCTCTTATTATTCCCATATCCCGCTCTCTTATTATCCCTCATATCCCGTTCTCTTATAATCCCTCATATCCTGCTCTATTATTATCCCCCATATCCCGTTCTCTTATAATCCCTCATATCCTACTCTCTTATTATCCCTCACATCCCGCTCTTATTATGTCTCATATCCCGTTCTCTTATTATGTCTCATATCCCGTTCTCTTATCGCTCATATCCCGTTCTCTTATTATCCCTCATATCCCGCTCTCTTATTATTCCCATATCCCGCTCTCTTATTATCCCTCATATCCCGTTCTCTTATAATCCCTCATATCCTGCTCTATTATTATCCCCCATATCCCGTTCTCTTATAATCCCTCATATCCTACTCTCTTATTATCCCTCACATCCCGCTCTTATTATGTCTCATATCCCGTTCTCTTATTATGTCTCATATCCCGTTCTCTTATCGCTCATATCCCGTTCTCTTATTATCCCTCATATCCCGCTCTCTTATTATTCCCATATCCCGCTCTCTTATTATCCCTCATATCCCGTTCTCTTATAATCCCTCATATCCTGCTCTATTATTATCCCCCATATCCCGTTCTCTTATAATCCCTCATATCCTACTCTCTTATTATCCCTCACATCCCGCTCTTATTATGTCTCATATCCCGTTCTCTTATTATGTCTCATATCCCGTTCTCTTATCGCTCATATCCCGTTCTCTTATTATCCCTCATATCCCGCTCTCTTATTATTCCCATATCCCGCTCTCTTATTATCCCTCATATCCCGTTCTCTTATAATCCCTCATATCCTGCTCTATTATTATCCCCCATATCCCGTTCTCTTATAATCCCTCATATCCTACTCTCTTATTATCCCTCACATCCCGCTCTTATTATGTCTCATATCCCGTTCTCTTATTATGTCTCATATCCCGTTCTCTTATCGCTCATATCCCGTTCTCTTATTATCCCTCATATCCCGCTCTCTTATTATTCCCATATCCCGCTCTCTTATTATCCCTCATATCCCGTTCTCTTATAATCCCTCATATCCTGCTCTATTATTATCCCCCATATCCCGTTCTCTTATAATCCCTCATATCCTACTCTCTTATTATCCCCCATATCCCGCTCTCTTATTATCCCTCATATCCCGCTCTCTTATTATCCCTCATATCCTGCTTTCTTATTATCCCTCATATCCCGCTCTCTTATTATTCCCCATATCCCACTCTCTTATTATTCCTCATATCCCGCTCTCTTATTATTCCCCACATCCTGTTTCATTATTGTTCCCATGTCTTGCACTATTATTATTCACCATGTCCTGCTAGTTGATTCTTTACAATGTCCTGCTTTTGGTTATTCTATTATCCCACATGTTCTGCTTCCTTATGATTCCACGCATCCTGCTCACTTATTATGTCCTGTCCTGCTCATCGTAATATTCATCATGCTTTGCTCTCTCGTCACACTATTTCTATTAGAATCTTACATGTTCTGCTTATCTCTCAGATTTCCTTATTCGTTGTGTTCCAGTCTCTGCATATGAATTGCTACTAACATTGCCCCCATCCCACCGGCCTATTGACTTTGATTCACTTCTTTTGCAGACTTCACCTATAGGATTCCCGAGTCTGAGATCAAAGGCATCTCTCACATACCAGCACAGCCCATAGGTTTCCAAGATGCCCGAAGATTAATATGGTAACTTACTTCATTTAAATCCTCGAAATAAATGTGTTTCTTAGATAAAAGGATCAAGCAGCCAAAGGAATTCCATACTAGTCCACATACGCTTCTTGGCATGGTCAACCTGTGTCTCTGTGTGGAAGCAGCCATCTTGGTAGAGGCAGGTCTTTGCTTCCTTATGTCAGAACCTCCAGCAAGGAGAACAGTGAGTAGTAACATCTCAAAATCTCACTCCAAATCTCCGGAGACCAGCTGCCGTTGGTAACAGTGCCCTAGATGATCTCACACTGCAGACAGGGCCGGATTTCCCACAAGGCCACCGAGGCCCAACAGTGCTGTGCTAGAACTCCTGTATTGCAGGTGACAGGTTCAAAAAAGAGAACCTGTCACCTCCAATTGCTATCACACATGGGGCTTGTTAGCTCCTGTGTGATAGCAATAAAGTTAAGTAAAAAACATAGATAAGAAAAAATTAATTAAATAAAAATAAAAAAATAACTAAAAAATAATAAGAAATAATAATTAAAATAAGAAAATAAAAAAAGTGATTA